AAGCAAAGCAAAGCAAACTGCAAAGCAAAGCAAAGCAAAGCAAAGCAAAGCAAAGCAAAGCAAGCAAGCAAAGCAAACTGCAAAGCAAAGCAAAGCCAACTGCAAAGCCAACTGCAAAGCAAAGCAAACTGCAAAGCAAAGCAAAGCAAAGCAAAGCAAACTGCAAAGCAAACTGCAAAGCAAACTGCAAAGCAAGCTGCAAAGCAAAGCAAAGCAAATAGTATCAAAAAGGTGATTTCCATGCCTGACCTTTCAACATCTTTTAAATGTTCTGTTTATAATATGTACATTATTTTATTGTCTTTGTGGTGTTTATTATATAGGCCATGTATTTAAGTCAAGCTGCATATTCAACAGTATCAACTGGGCACATTGTAAATCTGGTGACCAGTGATGTTCAGATACTTGAAAGGGTGAGTTTAAGACGGTTCCAGTATTGTTTCTTTTTATAGAAAAATTTTTTTTCTGAAGGAGTTAAGAAAAATAATGTCATGTTTAAGTTTGAAAGAATAATTGTGAAGCCTCGTAGTCCAGGATGCGGAGAGATCTATTGTTTTAGTATTACCATGATACTAGTTTGACAAAAATGAATGAAATTACACAAAAAGTTGTCGCTTTTTCGCTATTTGAGGACTATTGAAAATAGACCCAAGTAGCATACCCAATCAGAATGAAGGATTTGCAAAAGACTTCACATTTAAATTCTTTCTGACGAGTGTGTAAACACAAAACTCAATGTCACAGATAAACATGCATGTTTCTTTGTAGTTCAATGATTGTTATTAAGAATGTATCTAATTTTAATTTCAGCTTACAATATTTCTTAATCAACTGGTAATTGCACCCATTCTCTTCCTTATTACGGCATTCGTTTCCTGGATAGAAATAGGTCCCTGGTCATTGCCTGGAATTCTTATTCTGGTTATGTTAGCTCCTCTTCAAGGTTGGATGGGCAAAACATTTGCAGTTTTGAGGTGATTATCACAATATTCACAGTCTGCAAGTTAAATATGGAATTTTAGAATTAATAAATGTAGTGAATAGCCAGTCGTCAAAAGAATTTTCTTAAAAGCCTTGAATAACGAGTCTTTTAAACTGTTCATATAGCCTGAAGATTGTGAAAACATGAAACTTATAGTTGCTATCCGTGTCAAGTGTACTTGATTATTATACTTATTTTAAATATATTTATAGAATTTTAGAATTAAATAATTTAATATGTCAGGTTACTGTTAGTAGCATACATTTGTTAGTGTACATAGCTATTGTTTTTAATGCTTAATTATTAAGGCAAATAATAATAATACTTCAAGTGCCTGTGATGCCTGACAAAAAATTCTGATTCTCTGTGAACTGATTGCTATATAAAATAAATAATTAAATGGCATTAAATTTATTTTATGCAATGTGGGGAATAACCATATTCCCAGATRGCATGAAAACATTTTTGAGCGACTGTTTCAAAGTTGGTATATCTAATGAAGCCTTCCTTGACGTCATTATCATTAGCATATTTGAAGACGCAACACTGAAATGCAGAAATATTTCACCATCAATTATTTACTTCATATAGAATCAGTGTTTTTCCCATTGTGTTTATATCAGAGGACAGCTCTACACACGCGTGCCATTTTATATTTTCTTAAACAGAGACTGTTTCTTTTAGAAACACTGGCATAGCTCACACTGGTTTACCAGCAATTTCCATTGTATTTTAAAACATAACTTAATTTGTGTTTTAGAGTTAAAACAGCTCACATGACAGATCAGCGATTCAAGATCATGAATGAGGTTATTTCTGGGATGCGWGTTATTAAAATGTACAACTGGGAGACACCATTCTCAAATGTTGTATCTGATGTTAGAAGGTAATTAATTTGATGCATGTGATATCAAAGAATTTTATATTTGGGAGACAAATAGTTTTGATTTCTTGGGAACTATGAATATATAGCAGCTGTTTTTTCCTAAATACAGAGCTGCCGTAGCCATTTACTGAGCAATGATATTTGCAGAAACTGAATATGTAGTGGTAGTCTCTACTATATGATGGCATCCACCATTCCAAATTTTGCAGTCCTTGGTACATACTGTTGATATATTAGAGAGTAGATTGTTTGGCTGCAGCACAATGCATCCTTCATGATTCTTGTTTGTTGACCAACAGTCAGGTTCTTTACAGCAATGAAATTAGTTGCTGGATATTATCTGAGAGTAGAGAGTAAAGTCATCTACATGTATGTTGACTGTTCTACTCTGAAGCCCAAATTTTCCAATCTGTCTGGAAAAATGTATTTTCTTGTAACGGTTACGAACGTAGTGAGTGTGAGTGGAGAGAGAAATAATTTCCTTAGCGACGGAGGACTGGACACTAGTGCACGTGCTTGTATGCTAATTAGGATGTTGTTTATAAGGTCAAGTTGAAATTAATTCAATCATTGTGGTCTAAGTTCCTTTTGCTTAGTTTTCATAAGGAGTGTGTGAGTTCTGTGTGATGGTATTTGTAATTTTAGGCTGTGTTTTTTTGGAATAAAATGTTATGGGCTTAGACCGCTCACCGCATACCTTGTGTCTGCATGTTTTGTGAACTATGGGACGTAGGAGTACAAGGAATTGCTGTTGTTTATCAATTTCAACCTTATTTTTCTAGGAAAGAAGTAAATGTCATCAAAAAAGCAGCTAACTTAAAAGGTGTTAATGGCATTATCTACAGTATGTGTATCGGTCTTATTGGTCTGGTAGTATTTGTACCATATGTACTGGCAGGACACTCGCTAACACCAGAAAAAGTCTTCACTGTGTTAGGACTGTTCTATTCTGTTCGTGTGTCTCTTACAATTTTTTTTCCTGAGTGTATCCGTGGTATMAAAGAAGGGATAGTCTCAACTACTAGGATACAGGTACATGTATGATCGTAGTCATTGGTAAAATGCAATGGACATTTTAAGAGTGTTTTACAAGTTAGTGCACAATCAAWGCATCAGCACTGCCCTCCCCTATTGTTGTTGTACTTGTCTGATGACATAATTCTTCAGTTTTGTGATCTTCTCTACGCTCACTTGTGAGAGATCTTTTCAACACTCGAGAAGATAAAATCTGTATCTTTGTGCGCCCATGTAATATCCTCTATTTATTCAGTAGACTGAGAATCTATTGTAATGCAAAAACTGAGCTGTGTACTAAGAAGACAATAAAAATTTATGCTTGATTGAAGCTAAGCTTCCACAAAAAAGAGAATTCGAAACTGGAGTATTGTAGAAAGGTCTTTGTTTACAAAATTTTGCTTATTAGCATAGGGTTTAAAAGGAGTTGAGTGGCAAAGTGGTAATGAGCCTACACACTCTAAAAATTGTRGTTTTTAAGAACCTTTGGCGAAAACCTACTGTATGCGAGAAGCTCAAATTTATTTTGAAAGGTTATTTTATCACGTTCTTTCAATATTCAGTACTGATTTGGTGTTATTTTAAGATTATAGATTAGATTAGATATTAGCAGCTCCATTTAAAGAGCTACAGCTTGCATGAAAATGGACTTATTTCAAAACTTCAAGCAGTACAAATATATGACTCATTTATATCTATTAAAAACAATTGCGGGAAAATATTTGTCTTGGAATTGTCCCACATCAGAGAAATCTTGATTCAAAAGATGGAAGAACAAAAGGATGGAGTAAATGACGTCATCTACTCAAACATTTTTTGTCCAAATTATTAAGGATTTGCATCAATATTTTCTTGAAATCTGTTGCTTCATGATTATTACACCCATATGGATAGGTCTATTTGATTTCCAAGTCTTTTCTAATGTTTCGCAATTTTCGTCCAAGTAGCCCTTTAAAGGAAAGTCACTAGAAAGTGTACATATTTTGCATGAGAGGTCACATAATATAATTATAATCATGATAATATTGTTATAATAATCATTCACCACTCTTTAAATTCTCAGAGATTTTTGCAACTTGAGGACAAGAAACCAATAATAAGTGACCAACCAACCAACCAAACTGATAAGCCTTTAGTACAAGTCAAGAACATTAAAGCACAATGGAACAAGGTACAATGTACAATGTATTGCATGGTTAGATGATTATACATGATTACAATGTCATCATGATGTCACATCATGCCGCCCAATGGTGGCCCGGGGGGGGGGGGGGGGGGGTACTCCCCCAAAACTTGGGTGGAGTTGTGCTGCTGGGACGTCAAAACCCTGATCCTGTTCCAGAGTGAAATCGCTGAAAACTATACCCTGTTCCAGAGTGAAATCGCTGAAAACGATACCATGTTCCAGAGAAAATCCAGCACTAGCTTGCGTGTAGACCGAATTTTTACTCCGTGAATTTTTACCCAGCATCGAAATAATTCCGAAATTAAACCCTTGCCCTGTGAGAAGTGGCTTGTTTATGTTGTCACTTTATGTTGTTCACTTAATTCATTAAATTTTCTTTTACCTTAGGTTCTCAATACACCAACCCTWAATGATCTCAGTTTTACTGCCAATCTGGTAGGTATCTCTATAACAGCAACAACATTGCTATAAACAGCTACAATTAAAATGAAAACATTGTGATGTTAATTTTTGGCAATTTTGTTGCTTTTGTAGGGGGATTTGTTCATGGTTGTTGGACCTGTTGGTTCAGGAAAGGTATAGACCAATCCCGCTTTCACCTGGATGAACTCGAAACAATGGCTTCATTTCGAGGCTGCCAGAGTTTTCGACAAAAGATAAAAATCTAGCCTCGAAATGAAGCCATTGTTTCGTGTTCATCCWAGGGAATGCGGTCTATTGTATTGTTAACTACATTTTACCACACTCGAGTAAATTCCTGCATGAATAACTTTAGCTAATGTTAATTTAATTAAATGGTGTATGTGTTGCATGTGCTGTTATTAAAAAAAACTTGACTTCAAGGAGTGTGTCAATTTATAAAGGCCCGTTCACACTTGCGATTTTTGCAGAGCGATTCTCGCGGCGATCGACGCGCGACCATCGCCTAAATTCCGAACATGCTTGAAAATTGGCTGCAACTTTGCAGCGATTTTCCATTGTCGCAGGGCTGTTTAYACGTACGATTTGAGATGCACAATATCAAAATGGCGATTATCGTTCTGCAAAAATTGCAAGTGTAAACGGGCCTTAAGAGGACATGCAACTAAAAACTGTTCGACAGCTGACTGTGATTATGTATCACACAGGTTTGCAGCATCTATTATTTTGACATCTCTATTTCTTTGTTTAGTCCTCATTGCTGCAAGCCGTGCTTGGTGAATTACCTGTGACACAAGGAACTATCCGAGTACAGGGACGAATTAGCTATGCTTCTCAACAGTCATGGATATTCTCCGGGACTATTAGAGAAAATGTTTTATTTGATCAGGAATATGACGAGGAAAAATACTTAAAAGTAGTTAAAGTGTGTGCACTGGAAAAGGTATACTTACATGTATAAGAATAGGCCTTTTGCATGAAACAGTCACGTGGCACTAATTCTAATTCTAATTAGATTCTGGAGGGCAAATGAATGTAAACAACCTCAAAAACAAAAGGAACGTAGTCCATCAAAAGCTTATCTTTGTTTTGGACATCCCTACAGTRGGAGTTTAGCCCTCCAGAATGGTCAGGTGACCGTTTTATGCGAAATATAACTATTAAATCCGCCTTTTGTTTTGTTCAGTGAGTGTGAGCTCTCATTCTATCTTTTTGCAACTATTAGGATTTTGAACTGTTTGCTAATGGTGATAACACATTGGTTGGTGAGCGAGGAGTGGCATTGAGTGGAGGACAAAAAGCAAGAATTAACTTAGCAAGGTAATGAACTAATAGTAAATCAAGTAAAGGAAATAATACCCACAAGTTATACAAATTCAAATATTTCAAAATCTTCAAAATATATTGACTGCATATTGTATAACAAGTGGTATCTCTAATATATATTTGAGGTAAATAAACGTTATTTTAAAACGTCATTTCATTATATGGTGTTTACATCGCGCTTGCAGGAGATACGGATTTTATCTTCTTGCAACGCTCATTCGTGAGAGATCTCTTCAACACTCGAAAATAGAATTAGTACTCCGCGCGTCCATGGAATATCCTTTATATCAGTAGCAATTKAATCTAATAATTATAACCATGAAGTATGTGTTGAAATTTTATGTTGTTTTCTTTTACAGAGCATCGTATTTTGATGGGGACATTATTCTGCTTGACGACCCTCTCAGTGCAGTTGACACTCATGTTGGCCGACAACTGTTTGATGAGTAAGATATATAATTTATATAATGAAGAAGATCTTAGCTCAATGCTTAAAAGTGTGTCCACTGTTAATGTATTTGTCTTGCTTATTATRTAACCCACCGCAGTAGGATTGCGCTAGCTTTGTCTACTAGTATGGCAATTAAGAGAGAAGTAATGTACATTATCRAATTWTTGCTGTGCTGTCGAGCTCAAAGAAAAATCATTTTCAGGAATAGGAGAATATGATATACTACTGTATTTCATTTAAAAAAGAAGGAAAACGTTTTTTTTGTTGTTGTTGTTGACGAAGATCGACGCAAGGTTTGTACTTCGATAGCGCGAGTTTATAATCTAAAGAATTGATCCTGGGCTGCCTGTGGTGCTGTTACATAACTTGTCAAGACTGTATTCTCCTGTAATGTTATGCCATATAATTAATAAATAATTTTTGTTATCCCAAGTTTATTCTAATATACATATAATTTAGGTGCATCCGTGGACTTTTAAAAGACCGCATCACCATCTTAGTAACCCACCAATTGCAATACTTGAAAGGAGCCACTAGTATACTTTGTCTACAAGATGTAAGCAATGATTTATACATAATTATAGTAATTAATGCATACAGACAACTTAGTATTCATCATATTGTACATAAGTGGAATCTCAAGAAAAGTGTTTTGTGGGTTTTGTGAATTGACAATGTGGTGCGACGCCATTTTGCGCAGCAAAGCATGATGGTAGTTGTAGTCTTCGCACTTATTATATACCCTAAAATATCTCCTTAAAAGCCTTTTTACGATTTCTTTGTGGAAAAAGCAAAACAACATCATCTTTCCTTTGCTTAGAAAAAGAAAAGACATTTCAGAAGGGCTATTTTAGCGGACATGAAAAAAGTAGGAGGACTATAACTACCATAATCCTTTGCTGAACAAAATGGCGTCTCTCTTTACGCTGCCTATTAGCACAGTTTTGCCACTTATTCACTTATAACTGATACCTTGGGGAAAGCAGCTAGTTTTGTTGCCCTGGAACTGCTAAAGTTCCATGAAGCACTAGACGTTCTTGTGCATATAAATTATCACACTTCATTTAGTACTCTGCGAACAGATTATATATAACAATCTTGAACAAAGAGGTGTCCGTTATAGCGAGTAGAGGGTGTCCGTAAGGCGAGAKWTGACTKTATATTGGTAWTTGACTTTTTAGGGACGGTGTGTTGGGCAAGGAACATTGGAACAGTTGAATGAAGTCGGTCTTGATGTAGTGTCTCTAATGTCTATGACATCTCTTGACCATGAGCCTGATTCYACAGAAKACCCAGAACATGAAGATCAACATGAAGTTGCTATTGCAAATGGAAAGGCTCCTTTGTTAGATAGACGGTCCCTWATGAATCACAGGTCTTTATCAGTAGCATCAGAAACAAGAGCTGATGGTGTTCTCAAACAAAGCCAGTTTGATATCAGAGCTGCTCTCTCTCTTGAGTCRCTTCATCCAGATGTAAGTTTTTTGCTTGTTTCTTATTGATATTTTGTCAGTTTTTAAKTTAGCTTACTTCCACAGGTCATTAGCAAGAGGTTTTTAAGCAATAAACGATAGCTTGAAGCGGTTTACTGGCGAAATAAAAGTGTGCGGGATGGTTTGGTGAACACGGGAAAAGAGTTTGAGTGTTCTCCCAACCATCCCAAGCGGTTTATTTCGCCAGWAAACCTCTTCAAGCTATAGTTTATTGCTTTTATATTATTGACGGCGTTCGCCATTTAGATTCAAGAGTCTTTCAGGACAGCAGGCTGGTTTACCGGCGAAATAGACCATAGCTTTTCTTATGGAGTCCGCCAATCAGCGCGYGTGTTAGAATTGCTATCATAATATAAAACTAAGTAGCTACGCCCTTTGCAGCTAGAGGTCATGTAACCACACCCACCTTAAATCAATCGGATATTGTAGAAAATAAGGCCCCAAAATCGAAAGAGCAGGTCAGAATCAGTAAGAAGACGTAGTTTCAAGTCTTAGCAGTAAATACTTGAAAAATGGTAGCAAATAGAAAATCAACTTTTCTTTTCCAATGAAACGTATACAAAAATAGAATTGGAGAGAAGGGCTAGCTTGCTCTCMAGTCTATTTTCCCATACTTTCCTTTAGAAAATTAAGATTTTACACGTGCTGCCATTTTTGAAGTATTCAGTGTTGAAACTTTCATTTTAACTACATCAGCCTGCTATTTCCACTAGCTAATCTGCAAATAGGYATTTTGCTTATATACTGGATGGCAAAAGAATGTAAACAACCTTAAAAAACAAAAGGGACGCAGCTCGTCAAACTTGACTTTTCTTTGTTTTGAACATCCCAGTCGGGGGTATTTTGCCAACGAGCATGGCAGATTTAGTACCATGTGACCGTTTCGTGCAAAAGGCCTATTTTGCCGCAATAGAATCAATACAAGGCGTCGTGCGTAAAGTTCCGTCAATTACGAAAAACTACTTTTTATTACACTTTTGTGACTTCTCGTGTGTCAATAAGAAGACATGCACACTGTGCTGACACCACGTCTCGGGCGCACGCTCGGTTGAAAGGAAAGAATGATTTCGCTATTTTTTAGGCTTAATTGTAAATTTGTTTGTAAAAACAAATTGGACACGGTTTTTCGTTGTATGTCCTCTTATTGACACACTCTTGACGTCATAAAATGTTAAAAGCTTTGCAGTGAATCCAATCGCTGCGCTCGTGGTACCACTTGGGTCTTGAACATTTTGTGATGTCAAGAGTGTGTCAATAAGAGGTCAAAGCCGTGCACAATTTTTTAATTCTCGTCTTAGTTCCTATTGTGTGTGACAACTCGAGGCAAAATTCGGTTATTTCTGTACATTATTTTGTGATCGCTGATTATTATAGGTAGGTGTGGTCACATGACCCTCCGCTTGCAAAGGGACTATAGGCAGATCTTTGTTTACAAAATTTTGCTAATCAGCATAAAGTTTAAATTAAAGAAAACTTTAAAATAACGTTTATAATGTAAAAGGGCTTATTAAGAACTATAAACTACAAAAGTTTGAGGTCATTACCATAAAATAGTTTATGAGATATTAGCGTTCAAAGATGCTGAGTGGCAAAAGGGCTAATTAGCTCATATAATCTCTCTAAAAATTGGAGTTTTAAAAACCGTTTTACGCAAAAAGTATTTCATATGAGAAGCTCAAAATTGCGTGGAAAGCTTATTGTGTTATGTTGTTTCAATATTCAGTGCTGATTTACTGATAGTTAGGTTAAAACGTTTTATCATATAATTATGAAATACCTATATTTCTCCATTTCGTAAAATTGATATTTTCACTAGTGAAAATAACATGTTATTTTCACTAGTGAAAATAAAGCATTCAAGATTTCTCTATATAGTGGAAGTAAGAAAAAAGCTATTTTACGGCATAGTTTGCTTTCATATACAATTATATGATAAATAGAATATTACATGCTCGCTTGGAGATACGTATTTTATCTTCTCGTGTTGAAAATCTCTCACTCGTTCGCTACGCTCACTCGTGAGAGATCTTTTCAACACTCGAAGATAAAATCCGTATCTCAGCGCGCCCATGTAATATCCTCTATATATCCTTATGCTAATGATATGTTAATGAACTGAAATGTAAACAAATTGTTCGCCTATTGATTATAAGGTCTGACATTTTGCTCAACTGCTGTAGGTTGGTGCAGAGGAGGAGGAAGAAGAAGAAGTAGGGATGAAACCTGAAGCTGAAAAACAGACAACAGGACAAGTGACGTGGAAGGTTTACCTGGATTATTTCAGAGCAGGTTCAAGTTGCCTTGGTCTCTTTTTTATCTTCATACTGTTGCTTGCATCACAGGTATAATGCCACCTCTCCGCACACTTCTCTCGTGAATGACCTTTGGGAAGTTATTATAAAGGGTTGACAAGAAAACTGTTGTGGTTCTAACCACTGGCTTTTCCTCCCTAAGTACAAACGTYTACATGTACATTGTTTCCATCTTGCTTTTTATTCACATTCAGTTGATGTTGCTGTGATGTTGTTAGAAGCACCTCTAGATGCACATATAATGACAATCTGACTCATACGTCGAGAGCCAGAGTCGCGCTGAACCAAATAGTTTGAATTTAACACATGAACAGCGTGTCTAACTCAATTGATTCATACCTCGAGACTTTAGCACGGATGTGGCACTGCAGCGTTAGTAGTGCTGCACGGCAAAAGTTCGACGCTGATTCAAACTTCGAGCTATCGTCGTGCCGAACTTAACGCACAAAAATATACTTTTTCGAGAATAATAATGGATAACACTTTCGTGTTGTCAGACCTTTTCTCATTCTTTTGACTGCATATGGTTCGACTTATTAATCAACAACGTACCAAATATATTTTTGGTTCGGCCCGACGCTGGCTCGACGTATGAACAGGGCCAAAGCCACTAGTRTCCTTCACAGTTTGGCTTTTGTGCTGTGATAAAGGGTTATTAGAACAGTCACCTTTTCCCTTTTTTGCCCTTTTCTGTATATGATTTATGTGTTATGCAATCAGTTATTTCGTTGTTCGTTTTCTCCAGGGTGTTATCATGGTTTCGGAGTGGTGGCTAGCCGAATGGTAAGTTCAAGAGGAATCGATCACGATTTTATAACGCTTTATGCCGTGGTCAACTAATTCCCTTGTGAACTTTATTTCATATTTAAAATTTAATAAAAAAATATACAAAAAAATACTCCTTGTTAACMCTTTATTCTCGCCAAACTTTACTTTTCTGAACATCGCATTTTGCTATCCAGTATGGCGGACTTAGTATACCATGTGACCGTTTTATGCAAAAGGCCTATTCTTGCTATTTGTTTTGAATGCTCTAAGAATTCACAGCATGATTGCCTATTTTCTTWACAGGGCAGATCGTGAGGACTATAACACAAAACTGATAGCAAATGCAACCATCCCAATGGCTTCACTGACATCTTACTCTAGAAAAACATACATTATTGTGTACAGCATTCTTGTTGGTGGAGGAATTATCATCAGTGGATTGTCTAGTGTGTCTTTATACMGGCTATTTGTTACAGCATCGCAGAATCTTCATAATAACATGTTTCATTGCGTATTGAAGACACCTATCTATTTCTTTGATACGAACCCAGTAGGTAGGTATTCTTTGTTTTCACGGTTTACGTCATAGCAGCCATCTTGGAGGAACTTTAACGAAGGATTTCTCATTAGTATCTATTGTTCATTCCTCCAACATGGCCGCTGGTCTTTTATCTACTTTCATTGCTTTCAATAGACCTCTGCAGCTTTTACATCATGTACCGTATACGCAATGCATTGTAGGACATGTTTGGGACAAAACATGGCGGATTTCTTTTGTTTTCTCTTGAAACTGATCCCACAATGCATTGAAAATCAAGTAGTGACGTAAAAGGTTCAGAAGTCTATACTCACACATCTCTTTCACTTGCACGGGCTGTATGGTTTTTATGCTAACACAGTTTAAAAGATATCACTAAAAGTGTTGTTATTGTTGTTGTTGTTATTTTTGTGGCTACATATAGGCCGCCTAGTGTCCTCGTGTGTGTTGTACAAAACTCCAAAAAATGTGTTTTTTTTTTATATGCTAAATAATCGTGCTTTACTTAGTGATTGTTTTCTGTGTCTAACCTCCGTTTGAATTTTGTATGTCAGGTCGAGTTCTTAACAGATTCGCTAAAGACATCAGCCAAATGGATGATCTACTGCCAAGTGCATTTTTTGATTTCGCAAGGGTAGGTTTTAGAATCTTGTTGCGTAAATGACGTAATAATAATTGTTATAGAGTAGATGCACAGAATTTCTTCGGAACATGTTAAAATGCTAAATAGTTGCATTTAGAAAATAAGAATGAGGAAACAATGAGCATCATTACACCATTTTTCTTCAAAATTAATTTACTTGAAACTCATCGCAGAGATTGTATTAAAATTTTCAGAATCATTTTTTAATAACATAATTGATATACTGACGAAGTTTCAATGAAATCTTAACCTAAAATTTCGATTTGTTCGAATGTACATCATTTTGCTCAAACAACTCGAAATTTTAGGTTAAAATTTTATTGAAACTTCGTCAGTATATCAATTGTGTTATTAAAAAATGATTCTGAGAATTGTATTACAATCTCTGCGATAAGTTAAAAATTAACTTTGAAAATTATTTTGAGAAAATTAACTTTGAAGAGAAATGAAGGTGTTTTTATTTTGTATCGTTTATCCAAATGGCTTCGCTTTTTGGCAAATTAATTTATCAACAAGAATTATCGATAATCACTGTGACTTCTGTGAAAGTTTGAGTGCAATGGAATCGAAATTTGCGACGTAGTTGGRGTTTAAAAATACGCGCGAAACGCTATTTATTACGATCGAAACACCTTAACATAACGATACAACACAGCACACTATACCGTGCACATAAATCTGTATGAAGCCTTTGTTTAGATATGCTCTAATTTCGACAAAAAATCTATAAATGAAAATATTGAACTTGAAATTTTGAATTTAATAATTTATATGCATTCGTAACACCTTAACAATATCGACAATGAATTATCAACACCATCACAATTTCTTGTTCTAACATCTGAGCATCTTGTTTACGGATTTCTAAATCCCCATATGTTTACAGAAAAAATATGTGACCTATTAACTAGTCCATCTCACCTCACACACCATCATCTATCTCCCTCCTAGAACTCTTGGATTGCTTCGCAATCTTCGAGTTAATAAAGAATTTGAATGAAGGTTTTTTTTGTATTTTTATTTTTGCAGTTGGCACTCCTGACTTTTGCTATTTTACTGCTGAATGTTGCAAGTATTCCATATCTACTGGTTGGGGCTGTACCCATGGTGGTAGGATTTGGTTATCTTAGAAATTATTATCTACGAACTTCAAGGGACATCAAGCGTCTAGAAGCAATAAGTAAGAATTGCATAAACTTTCACATCGTTTGTATACAGCAAATTTAGAAAACGTACAAAACGTAGTGGGGTTCCAAATGGTAATATCATGAAAGCTAAGACCGAAAACATATTACGAGTAAAACAGTGTTTTCATCAAAGGATTATTTGTAACCTGGATACAAACATGAAGCACATAGTCTAGCAACCTTATGAGCAATGTGTATTCTGTGTATACAGAACGCTTGGGAGTAAAATTATTTAAAATTAAAGAAGATTATATTAAAGTAAAATAAGACTTTTTCCAGTTCAATGCGAGCAACCGCTGTTTTAGTAGACAACAGACTCACTTGAGTAGAGAACAAAAGAAAGCACGAAAAAATGTTGACATTACATTATCTCTAGAAATTTGAATTTTCTCCGATTTGATTCTTAGTCTGAGTAAGACGTTGAACCTTCTGGGAAAACAGTCTTAGCGCTATTGTAATGACAGCATTTTTTCCTAGTGCTTTCTTTTGTTTTTGGTAAGACTGTTGTCAACTAAATCAGCGTTGTTCGCTTTATATTATTTGTACTTCAATTCATATTCATGCAATTTCAAAGAATTTTATCCTTAAGGGATCTTAAACGAGACAAATATTGTCCATGCTCAGTGGTTGCTGTTGCGCCATATCCTTTTCTGAAAGTTTACCCCTGGTTTCTTGAAAATGCAATCTTTTACTTATGTTTAAATTTCCAGACCGCAGCCCTGTTTATTCCCACATCTCAGCGAGTATTGATGGTCTGATAACTATACGAGCCTTTGAAGCAGAAGCAAGATTCATTTCAACTTACTATGACTATCTGGACTTTCACTCGTCAAGCTACTTTTTATTTCTCACCACTCAAAGATGGCTTGGTTTCCGACTCGATATAATCTGTGCTTTGTTTATGGCTTTTTCTGTGATTGGAAGCCTGGTCACCTTGGAAACAGGAACAGGTGAATTACAGTGCGCATGACACTTTTTAGAAAATCACTTTTTTATCCGAAAAAAAACACACGCTTCCAAGGACTTCTGTGAAGAGAGAAATAGATTTTGAATTGTATTTTCTGAGTTATAGACATTTGAAAATTGACGTCAAAAGTGACGTCAACTAAGGAATAGTCTCCTTTGCGGTTAGGCGCGCCATCTTGAAAGGTAGCCGTGACTTTGCATCGAAGCGAGACAACCGTTGAGCGTGCAGTGATAGAAATCGTCTTTCACACCTACAGACAATCATTCACAGGTTTCTATCATTGCACGCTCAACGGTTGTCTTGCTTCGATGTAAAACACGGCTACCTTTCAAGATGGCGCAGGTAACCGTGAAGGAGACTATTGGTCTAGACTTTTTACATTGTTTGTGTTATGTTTTTCTTGGTTGAAGAGCTCAAATTTTCAATCATAGTAATAATTGAGAGCTGAAAACGCAATAATCGATTCTTTATCTATTGTGTATCAGCTATCAGTGCAAGCGTCGTTGGTCTGTGCCTTATTTATGCTAAGATGTTGACTGGGATGTTTCAATGGTGCACCAGACAGAGTGCTGAAGTAGAAAATCTGGTAAGAAAAAGATCTTAATGAATGTTCGCATCCTAATATGCATATTCACTAAAGGGGAGGATATTTTTAAGGGGGAGGGGGAAGGGGATCTCGGACCTCCTCCCTCACTAACATTAACACCAACGAAGCTCTGCTTAAATKGGTTTAAAAGTTCATAGTTTTGCTACGTTTTAGCAATTTTTGGATCTTAAAGACCTTTGGGCCGGGTTGTTCAAAACCCGATTAGCGTTTTTCAGGGTTAACTAAGGGTTAACAGGGTTTTCTAAGAATTAATCAAGGATTAGCGCTAATCGGGCTTTGAGCAACCCGGCCCTGGATCCCATTATGCGCTATTTGCTTATAAAAGGAACGATTTTCTGAGGTGATAGGAATGCTTATGCTATTAATTTCTTCATGAGTTTGTCATTGATAGAGGTCTGTGCTCCTGAGTGACGGAGCCAACAATTTCCCGCGTTTTCTTTTGGATGCAGCCTAGTGGCTAATCCTATCTGTTATTCTTTGTTTCATCGGAATCGGGTCCATTGCAGAAAAACACTAACAAGAAGTCCTTATTGTACAACTTATTGCTTAGAATATTAAAGAATCCAAACTAACCACAATACAGCGCGCGCTGCGTGTTATTGTTTACATACGGGATACTACTACTAACCTCGTCAAGCATGCAACAGTCGATTTACGAATTTCGCTCCAGTTGTCAAGCACAAAAGAATCAAGACGAGGCGCCGTGTCTTTTTATTGTCTTTTGACGAATGACTAAGCTTTATGCACGGTGCCTCATCTTGGATTGTAGGATTCGCGCTCACTTTAAGAAATCCTACGATTCTGCCATTTTCGTTTCCACCTAAAATGGCGCTTCGGCTCGGAAGGTACAGCGGTTGGTTGTGATTCTTCAAACAGCAGTAGCTTTTTATTCTTAGACTTTTATTCTATCTCCAGATGACATCTGTAGAACGTGTTGTAGAATATTCACATTTGGAGCCCGAATCTGAACCCTCGAAACCTGCTCTAATCCCAGAGGACTGGCCTCAACATGGAACAATCACAGCTGAAAAGGTCTTCTACTCACATCACAAATCACTACCATATGTACTGAAAAACTTGAACTTCGATATAAAACCACAAGAAAAGGTTTGTGGAAATTTGATTATAATATTATAATTTATTGTTGTAGAGAATAACGAAATGGTGATCGCCGAACAATACTCCTGTTTCGAGATTATTTGTGCAGTCTTAACCTCGAAAACATGTAATATATTCTTTTATTCAGCAGAGATCCTATTACAATGACAAAAACTATGTATACAAAGAAGACCGAATAGAAATTTATGCTTGATTAAATCTAAGCTTGCACAAAAAAGAATTCGAAACTGGAGTATTAAGGGATAGCTAGAGAACCATGCGATCTTGAGAGATATAGCTATTTCAAAAAACGTTGTCAGGGAGAACGGCAAACGGCGATTGTCGAAGGGAGATTGCACGACCGAAAGGGACTAYTGTTACACTGTTTTGATAAACAAAATCTCACTTATTGGATTCACCTTACATACAAATGGAGACTAAAAGGAGCGAATGTTTACCACAGACCATCTTACACCATAAATCAGTTGTTATTGCCTTTCAATTAGCAAAACCCATGGGTACTTTCGGTCGTGCAATCGCCGTTCGACCATTGACATTCGCTATTTTATCCGACAACCTTTTTTGAAATAGCTATACTATTTTTAGTGCTTTTGAAAAAGCTCCAGACGTTTTAGGTCTAGAGGGCTGTGCTCAATCATTCAGTTTTTCCGAATTTATTTCCAAGGGTCTCTCTCCCGGAATAACCTCCTTCTAATTAAGCACTATTCCTTTCCTTTATTTCTACGCATATCCAATTGCCTGTATAAGGTTAGTATTGTTGGCTGTATAGATTTTATTAAGTTTTTTGTTCTTCTGTAGGTTGGTATTGTTGGTCGTACCGGGGCAGGCAAGTCATCACTACTAGGAATGCTGTTTAGACTGAATATTCCTGAGGGACTTGTTCAAATTGACTCATTGCCAATCACAGATATCAAACTTCATGACCTAAGAAGTGCCATAGCTATTATTCCGCAGGTGAGACTTTTACTTTTTCACATATCAAAGAATTGTTATGCCATTCGTGTGGGATCCCTGTGCTTTTGAGTTTTGGGCTTCCTTTAGCAAATCCATGCCATATATAGAAACAAACAATTCGCTATAATATCTGCAAGTTCAAGAGGATTTCATGCTTTAAAAGTCGAACAAATCGCCAAAAACCAGTCTTATCGTACTATTAGGTAAAATTACCATATATGGCTGTTAAGCTAAAGACCACTTTTCTGGTGCAATTCTTCGATATTTAGCTGTTGTCACTGGCTATGAGAGAAACTGCTATAGACCCCTTGCAGTTCATGGGAATGCAGCTCCAACTGGAGGACAAAACAATAGATTCTAGTTCCCAACAGGATAAAAATCTTTTGTTTTGTCCTCCAGATGAAGCTGCTTTGACGTCACAATGCAAGGGGTCTATTTAAAAGCAGACTCGTGCCCAGACACTTCTCTAAAGCGGCGCGCAATGCATGAAGGGAGGGATTTTACTCTCACTCCCATCAACCCCTTCGAGCGTCTCGAAAAATAAAGCGTAACAACTGGGCACGAGTCTAATCTAAAAGTCGGTGGAATTTCCAAAAGCCTGACTTTCATCCGTGAACACCTACACCGGTTATTTTCAAAGGCTAGTCTCCCCAGCTTTTTTCGTTATTCGGCGTTCAATTTTCGATGGCTTTGTCTGTTTAATTTTGGGTCAACTTTTTGTACATCATTTTGAAATGTTGAATCAATAGATGATCCAGTGCACGCCAGATTTAAGTCAATTCAAAACATTAACAAAGGAATGGAAACAAGGCCTGAGTTAAGGCCTTACAGGAGTTAAGATTGCAAATATGTAAGGATTATTAACGTTCATCTGAAATATAGAAAAATTGCTTTTGTTTGAACAAKGTCATACATCAGGCAGCCCATCCCTTGCATGCTTAAAATTATTCTGTAGTCTTATTGGTCTCTTTATACATGTATACACATGTCTTGTAGGATCCAGTTCTCTTCAGCGGTACACTTCGAAAGAACCTRGACCCGTTTGGCAACTACACCGACGAAGACTTATGGAATTCTTTAGAAGAAGTCCAGTTAAAGGAATCTATTGAGGAATTRCCCGATGGAATAGAGACTCACTTGGCTGAAGCAGGCTCAAACTTTAGTGTTGGTCAACGGCAACTTATATGCTTAGCGCGTGCTATTTTGAGTCATAACAAAATCCTGGTCATTGACGAGGCAACGGCAAATGTGGATCACAAGTAAGTCAACAAAATCACTATTTTATTTATTCATTTATCTTTATCTGGAAAAAGGATTTATCATATTTATTATCCATGAAATACCTATATTTCTCCATTACATAAAGTTGTTATTTTCACTAGTGAAAATGTAACACATTCGAGGTTTCTCTATATAGTGGAAGTAAGAAAAAAAGCTATTTTACGATATAATATGATAAACAGAATATTACATGGTCGCTTGGAGATACGCATTTTATCTTCACGTGTTGAAAATCTCTCACACGTTCGCTACGCTACGCTCTTTTCAACACTCGAAGATAAAATCAATATCTCCGCGCGACCATGTTAAAACCTATAGCTATTTCAAATTTCGATTTAAAGACCGAAAATAAATGTGGCTATTCAGTTTTCTTCCGAAAAAAAGAAATACTTATTGATACGGAAGAAAAATCACGGCGATCGAAAATCTTTATTTGATTGAAACGATATTATCCTTGAATGAATATTGGCATCTATTGTACACACCCATAGTAACTTTCGGTCTTCATTCAATCTTTTCTGTGACAACCTTTTTGAAATAGCTGTAATTGCTAGCTTTCATTTCCGAGCAGGAAACTGGATACAAGTTTTAAAATCGGCGTATGTGACGTACATTATAGAGCGGATTTCGTATGAGTGGGACACCGTTACCGCACGGTTACCGCACAGTTACCGGACCTGGCCTGCACAATTTTGGTGAACCAATGGGGCACTAGAATTTGGTTACAGTACGATNTAGAACTCTTGGATTGCTTCGCAATCTTCGAGTTAATAAAGAATTTGAATGAAGGTTTTTTTTGTATTTTTATTTTTGCAGTTGGCACTCCTGACTTTTGCTATTTTACTGCTGAATGTTGCAAGTATTCCATATCTACTGGTTGGGGCTGTACCCATGGTGGTAGGATTTGGTTATCTTAGAAATTATTATCTACGAACTTCAAGGGACATCAAGCGTCTAGAAGCAATAAGTAAGAATTGCATAAACTTTCACATCGTTTGTATACAGCAAATTTAGAAAACGTACAAAACGTAGTGGGGTTCCAAATGGTAATATCATGAAAGCTAAGACCGAAAACATATTACGAGTAAAACAGTGTTTTCATCAAAGGATTATTTGTAACCTGGATACAAACATGAAGCACATAGTCTAGCAACCTTATGAGCAATGTGTATTCTGTGTATTCAGAACGCTTGGAAGTAAAATTATTTAAAATTAAAGAAGATTATATTAAAGTAAAATAAGACTTATTCCAGTTCAATGCGAGCAACCGCTGTTTCAGTAGACAACAGACTCACTTGAGTAGAGGACAAAAGAAAGCATGAAAAAATGTTCACTTGGCATTACATTACCTCTAGAAATTTGAATTTTCTCCGATTTGATTCTTAGTGTGAGTAAGACGTTGAATCTTCTGGGAAAACAGGCTTAGCGCTATTGTAATGACAACATTTTTTCCTGCTTTCTTTTGTTTTTGGTAAGACTGTTGTCAACTAAATCAGCGGTTGTTCGCTTTATATTATTTGTACTTCAATTCATATTCATGCAATTTCAAAGAATTTTATCCTTAAGGGATCTTAAACGAGACAAATATTGTCCATGCTCAGTGGTTGCTGTTGCGTTATATCCGTTTCTGAAAGTTCAACCCTGGTTTCTTGAAGATGCGATCTTTTACTTATGTTTAAATTTCCAGACCGCAGTCCTGTTTATTCCCACATCTCAGCGAGTATTGATGGTCTGATAACTATACGAGCCTTTGAAGCAGAAGCAAGATTCATTTCAACTTACTATGACTATCTGGACTTTCACTCGTCAAGCTACTTTTTATTTCTCACCACTCAAAGATGGCTTGGTTTCCGACTCGATATAATCTGTGCTTTGTTTATGGCTTTTTCTGTGATTGGAAGCCTGGTCACCTTGGAAACAGGAACAGGTGAATTACAGTGCGCATGACACTTTTTAGAAAATCACTTTTTTATCCGAAAAAAAACACACGCTTCCAAGGACTTCTGTGAAGAGAGAAATAGATTTTGAATTGTATTTTCTGAGTTATAGACATTTGAAAATTGACGTCAAAAGTGACGTCAACTAAGGAATAGTCTCCTTTGCGGTTAGGCGCGCCATCTTGAAAGGTAGCCGTGACTTTGCATCGAAGCGAGACAACCGTTGAGCGTGCAGTGATAGAAATCGTCTTTCACACCTACAGACAATCATTCACAGGTTTCTATCATTGCACGCTCAACGGTTGTCTTGCTTCGATGTAAAACACGGCTACCTTTCAAGATGGCGCAGGTAACCGTGAAGGAGACTATTGGTCTAGACTTTTTACATTGTTTGTGTTATGTTTTTCTTGGTTGAAGAGCTCAAATTTTCAATCATAGTAATAATTGAGAGCTGAAAACGCAATAATCGATTCTTTATCTATTGTGTATCAGCTATCAGTGCAAGCGTCGTTGGTCTGTGCCTTATTTATGCTAAGATGTTGACTGGGATGTTTCAATGGTGCACCAGACAGAGTGCTGAAGTAGAAAATCTGGTAAGAAAAAGATCTTAATGAATGTTCGCATCCTAATATGCATATTCACTAAAGGGGAGGATATTTTTAAGGGGGAGGGGGAAGGGGATCTCGGACCTCCTCCCTCACTAACATTAACACCAACGAAGCTCTGCTTAAATKGGTTTAAAAGTTCATAGTTTTGCTACGTTTTAGCAATTTTTGGATCTTAAAGACCTTTGGGCCGGGTTGTTCAAAACCCGATTAGCGTTTTTCAGGGTTAACTAAGGGTTAACAGGGTTTTCTAAGAATTAATCAAGGATTAGCGCTAATCGGGCTTTGAGCAACCCGGCCCTGGATCCCATTATGCGCTATTTGCTTATAAAAGGAACGATTTTCTGAGGTGATAGGAATGCTTATGCTATTAATTTCTTCATGAGTTTGTCATTGATAGAGGTCTGTGCTCCTGAGTGACGGAGCCAACAATTTCCCGCGTTTTCTTTTGGATGCAGCCTAGTGGCTAATCCTATCTGTTATTCTTTGTTTCATCGGAATCGGGTCCATTGCAGAAAAACACTAACAAGAAGTCCTTATTGTACAACTTATTGCTTAGAATATTAAAGAATCCAAACTAACCACAATACAGCGCGCGCTGCGTGTTATTGTTTACATACGGGATACTACTACTAACCTCGTCAAGCATGCAACAGTCGATTTACGAATTTCGCTCCAGTTGTCAAGCACAAAAGAATCAAGACGAGGCGCCGTGTCTTTTTATTGTCTTTTGACGAATGACTAAGCTTTATGCACGGTGCCTCATCTTGGATTGTAGGATTCGCGCTCACTTTAAGAAATCCTACGATTCTGCCATTTTCGTTTCCACCTAAAATGGCGCTTCGGCTCGGAAGGTACAGCGGTTGGTTGTGATTCTTCAAACAGCAGTAGCTTTTTATTCTTAGACTTTTATTCTATCTCCAGATGACATCTGTAGAACGTGTTGTAGAATATTCACATTTGGAGCCCGAATCTGAACCCTCGAAACCTGCTCTAATCCCAGAGGACTGGCCTCAACATGGAACAATCACAGCTGAAAAGGTCTTCTACTCACATCACAAATCACTACCATATGTACTGAAAAACTTGAACTTCGATATAAAACCACAAGAAAAGGTTTGTGGAAATTTGATTATAATATTATAATTTATTGTTGTAGAGAATAACGAAATGGTGATCGCCGAACAATACTCCTGTTTCGAGATTATTTGTGCAGTCTTAACCTCGAAAACATGTAATATATTCTTTTATTCAGCAGAGATCCTATTACAATGACAAAAACTATGTATACAAAGAAGACCGAATAGAAATTTATGCTTGATTAAATCTAAGCTTGCACAAAAAAGAATTCGAAACTGGAGTATTAAGGGATAGCTAGAGAACCATGCGATCTTGAGAGATATAGCTATTTCAAAAAACGTTGTCAGGGAGAACGGCAAACGGCGATTGTCGAAGGGAGATTGCACGACCGAAAGGGACTAYTGTTACACTGTTTTGATAAACAAAATCTCACTTATTGGATTCACCTTACATACAAATGGAGACTAAAAGGAGCGAATGTTTACCACAGACCATCTTACAGTATAAATCAGTTGTTATTGCCTTTCAATTAGCAAAACCCATGGGTACTTTCGGTCGTGCAATCGCCGTTCGACCATTGACATTCGCTATTTTATCCGACAACCTTTTTTGAAATAGCTATACTATTTTTAGTGCTTTTGAAAAAGCTCCAGACGTTTTAGGTCTAGAGGGCTGTGCTCAATCATTCAGTTTTTCCGAATTTATTTCCAAGGGTCTCTCTCCCGGAATAACCTCCTTCTAATTAAGCACTATTCCTTTCCTTTATTTCTACGCATATCCAATTGCCTGTATAAGGTTAGTATTGTTGGCTGTATAGATTTTATTAAGTTTTTTGTTCTTCTGTAGGTTGGTATTGTTGGTCGTACCGGGGCAGGCAAGTCATCACTACTAGGAATGCTGTTTAGACTGAATATTCCTGAGGGACTTGTTCAAATTGACTCATTGCCAATCACAGATATCAAACTTCATGACCTAAGAAGTGCCATAGCTATTATTCCGCAGGTGAGACTTTTACTTTTTCACATATCAAAGAATTGTTATGCCATTCGTGTGGGATCCCTGTGCTTTTGAGTTTTGGGCTTCCTTTAGCAAATCCATGCCATATATAGAAACAAACAATTCGCTATAATATCTGCAAGTTCAAGAGGATTTCATGCTTTAAAAGTCGAACAAATCGCCAAAAACCAGTCTTATCGTACTATTAGGTAAAATTACCATATATGGCTGTTAAGCTAAAGACCACTTTTCTGGTGCAATTCTTCGATATTTAGCTGTTGTCACTGGCTATGAGAGAAACTGCTATAGACCCCTTGCAGTTCATGGGAATGCAGCTCCAACTGGAGGACAAAACAATAGATTCTAGTTCCCAACAGGATAAAAATCTTTTGTTTTGTCCTCCAGATGAAGCTGCTTTGACGTCACAATGCAAGGGGTCTATTTAAAAGCAGACTCGTGCCCAGACACTTCTCTAAAGCGGCGCGCAATGCATGAAGGGAGGGATTTTACTCTCACTCCCATCAACCCCTTCGAGCGTCTCGAAAAATAAAGCGTAACAACTGGGCACGAGTCTAATCTAAAAGTCGGTGGAATTTCCAAAAGCCTGACTTTCATCCGTGAACACCTACACCGGTTATTTTCAAAGGCTAGTCTCCCCAGCTTTTTTCGTTATTCGGCGTTCAATTTTCGATGGCTTTGTCTGTTTAATTTTGGGTCAACTTTTTGTACATCATTTTGAAATGTTGAATCAATAGATGATCCAGTGCACGCCAGATTTAAGTCAATTCAAAACATTAACAAAGGAATGGAAACAAGGCCTGAGTTAAGGCCTTACAGGAGTTAAGATTGCAAATATGTAAGGATTATTAACGTTCATCTGAAATATAGAAAAATTGCTTTTGTTTGAACAAKGTCATACATCAGGCAGCCCATCCCTTGCATGCTTAAAATTATTCTGTAGTCTTATTGGTCTCTTTATACATGTATACACATGTCTTGTAGGATCCAGTTCTCTTCAGCGGTACACTTCGAAAGAACCTRGACCCGTTTGGCAACTACACCGACGAAGACTTATGGAATTCTTTAGAAGAAGTCCAGTTAAAGGAATCTATTGAGGAATTRCCCGATGGAATAGAGACTCACTTGGCTGAAGCAGGCTCAAACTTTAGTGTTGGTCAACGGCAACTTATATGCTTAGCGCGTGCTATTTTGAGTCATAACAAAATCCTGGTCATTGACGAGGCAACGGCAAATGTGGATCACAAGTAAGTCAACAAAATCACTATTTTATTTATTCATTTATCTTTATCTGGAAAAAGGATTTATCATATTTATTATCCATGAAATACCTATATTTCTCCATTACATAAAGTTGTTATTTTCACTAGTGAAAATGTAACACATTCGAGGTTTCTCTATATAGTGGAAGTAAGAAAAAAAGCTATTTTACGATATAATATGATAAACAGAATATTACATGGTCGCTTGGAGATACGCATTTTATCTTCACGTGTTGAAAATCTCTCACACGTTCGCTACGCTACGCTCTTTTCAACACTCGAAGATAAAATCAATATCTCCGCGCGACCATGTTAAAACCTATAGCTATTTCAAATTTCGATTTAAAGACCGAAAATAAATGTGGCTATTCAGTTTTCTTCCGAAAAAAAGAAATACTTATTGATACGGAAGAAAAATCACGGCGATCGAAAATCTTTATTTGATTGAAACGATATTATCCTTGAATGAATATTGGCATCTATTGTACACACCCATAGTAACTTTCGGTCTTCATTCAATCTTTTCTGTGACAACCTTTTTGAAATAGCTGTAATTGCTAGCTTTCATTTCCGAGCAGGAAACTGGATACAAGTTTTAAAATCGGCGTATGTGACGTACATTATAGAGCGGATTTCGTATGAGTGGGACACCGTTACCGCACGGTTACCGCACAGTTACCGGACCTGGCCTGCACAATTTTGGTGAACCAATGGGGCACTAGAATTTGGTTACAGTACGATTACGGTCACAGTACAGAACCGTCTGTTTCCCACTCATACGAAATCCGNGTCATCCAGTCAGACTATGTTTACGACAAACATTTTCTGTTTACAAAGAGAGGTCACTTTCCTCTTTAACTTAAAAAACACTAGAGAATTGTCCAGCAAACGCCGGCTAACACATGTTAGTATAAACATACTAATGGTCTATCACTCATACTGCGCTGTGATTGGCTACTCTACTAATGGTCTAATTTGTGATAGACCACTCGCGGGAAAATCAGAATAAATAAATTATAAATTATAAAATATTTTAAGGATATTTCAATTTGTTTTCACTATTTGACCGATTAGTATGTTAATACTAAAACAATTAGACCTCTCGGCCTCGTGGACTACGAGCTATTACAACTTTTCAGTAAAATCAGACGTTTTGATTGGTTGGCTTTCGTGTGTTCTCGAAGTATAGATACACGGATTACGTCAAAACTAATTGTTTGTTGTATAAAACAGATAGATCTCATTTTTCCGTGTGTGTGTATTCTAATAGATACACAGATGAAGTCAAAATGTAGTCTCGTGCGTACTTTTTTGTTCTCACTACATTTTGACGTCATCTCTGTATCTATTAGAGTACACACGTACGGAAAAATGAGATCTATTTGTTAAATAGCCCATTCGGCCTCGCGGACTCGGCCTCATGGGCTATTAGCTCGTAGTCCACTCGACCTCGAGGTCTAATTGTTAATTGGTTCCCGCTGTAACTTTACAAATATACCAAAAAAAATTTGAGAGACGGGGAAACAAAGACTTTGAGATAAACGGCCGTGAAAGTTGCGTCTCTTTGATTTTTGGGTTATTAATGTATTGATTTATGATTTATTGATGTGTTGATTGACTTAATTATTTATTTGCTTGTTTATTTGTTTATTTATTTATTTATTATTCTTACAATGTCAATATTTAAGTTTTCCGAATTCATTTCCAAGGGTCTTTCTCCCGGAATTACCTCCTTCTTAGCACTTAAACTTTCCTTTATTTCTATATCAAATATGTAATTTTTTTCCAGCACCGACTCTTTGATACAGGAAACGATACGAAACAAGTTCAAGGACTGCACAGTATTAACGATTGCTCATCGATTGAATACGATCATGGACTCGGATAGAGTCATGGTAAGTACTGATCGACTGCACAGTATTAACGAGTGCTCATCGATTGAATACGATCATGGACTCGGATAGAGTCATGGTAAGTACTGATCGACTGCACAGTATTAACGAGTGCTCATCGATTGAATACGATCATGG